CAATTTTTCTAGTATTCAGCAGGACACGACGCTTGCCATCTTTACACGCTCTCAAGTCGCTAAACGTGCGTGCGCCATGGATGACACGCAGGAGCCAACCGTCGAAGACACCGAGATGGCCGAGGTTGCCAATGACCATTCCCATTAGAAAGGACTCTATACATAACAACGATAACGTCGTCATCAATTACAGGCAGCGACGGCTTCACTGCAAAAACCAATGGGTGACGCGTGTTAAAAAAAAAGACGTATGTAAAATTTTAACAAGATAAAGAGGAGTTAAGTGTCAATTACCTCTCCTCACCCATCTCGCCTTAACAAGGGCAACACCGTCCACTCCGACGGTCCTCTCTGAAATTTCAGCAAAAAAGAAACGATCTTCGAAGTGCTCGTCTTTGCTAGGAAACCCGTCGATAAGTCTCCGACCCGCCACGGGAGTGATGCTATACTTGAGCTCCTCCTTCCGACCGCGAGTCCGGAAGTCCAACAAGCAGGACAAGTGCTCGATGCTGATCTCAACGCCATGCTCCCGACTCATCACGTAGACACCGACGAGATGTCTGAGGCCCTTCGGGTTGACCTGAGCAAGGGCAACTTGGTTCGCCGCCAGAAAGCGAAGAAGGCATCCAGGCACCGGAAACCGGAGCAAGCACGAGTCAAAGTAGTTCTCGTAAAGAGTAAAGTACCCGGGAGGCGGAGCATTGGCCCTGTCAGTGGAAACGGGAGCGATCAACGCAATGTCCTCCGAGATCTCACACCGCCCCCGGAGAAGCCGCAGTGACTCCTCATCTGTAAGGGAAGATCCAGGAGGCATAGGACGAATCGGTGCCCTCCTCTTCCTCTTAGCCGCTATTGGCTGCTCAACTTCGGCAAAGTTAGCGTCGTCATCTCTTTCGGTGCTAGACGCTAGCGAGTTAAACGAAGAGGATGAGGGCAGCGATTGCGATGCATCCGCGGTGCCAGGCGGGAGCTGTGGATCCACGTCGTCAACAAACCAAAGGTCATCAAAAGAATCGGTGGCTTCGGGGAAACCGCTCGGGAACATCGGCTCACCACCACGCCGAACTGCCCTCGTCGGGTCACCGACGCATTGGCTCGGGGACATCGGGGTTCCGCTTGTCAAGTCTTCGGCGACAAAAGCTCGAGTCCTCGGGGCAACATTGATCTTCGGCGTAGGGACAGTCCGAGAGGTCGTGACATCTAGGTCGAGAAGGGAGGCCCTTGCATCTTCGGTACCACAAGTAGAAGACTTCGGGTCTTCGGTGCTACGACGAGAGGGCCTCGTGTCTGCGTGCTCGCGAGGAGAAGTCCTCATGCCCTCGGGTCCGTGGGGTAAACACCCCGAGTCTTCGGCGACAGAAGCGACGACCATCACTTCGGCGATAGAAGCGACGACCATCACTTCGGCGATAGAAGCGACGACCATCACTTCGGCGCAAGAGTCTTCGGCGGCATGAGGGTCTTCGGGGGAGCAACGATTTCCGGCGACGAGAAGCTCTTCGGAGGAGCGGCGGTCTTCGGCGCCGGCACGGCGGTCATCGCCCCCGCGGTCATCATCGCCAACGTTGGTGTTCTCTATAAACGCAAATTCACCTATGCAAATCGAAATCAAGGATTAAAATCGGCACAATCTTCAATCCCTAACAGATCTAGAGTCACACTACAAAGAGTAACCTAAAGAATCAACACAACAAAGGCTCATCCCATCAACTTGTTGATAGTAACCATGGATTCAAGGAAATCAACAACTAATTTTAGAGGAATTGGTTGATAAAACAACAAAGGAACTCACCAAAGCAACAAGGAAGCGACGAGAGGGACTCGGCGGCGGCGACGGAAGAGCGTAGCGTCGGCTGGAATCCTTCTCATCGGCGTCGACGGCGAGATTTGGTTTGAAGAAGAAGGGTTTCTTCACAATTGTGGAG